CTAGTGCTAACTTACATGTTTATGTGTATGTATATATACATGTATATATTGAATTGTATTGTACAGATGGAGCTAAAGAAGTTTCACTTCAGTCGTGTGGTATTAAGCACACTCGCTTTTTTATGATTAGGTTAGGCTAGGCTAACTTGATTTCTTCGTCTATCAGGTTGATTATCAAAAAGTATTGGACACGTATTTTTTCTTTATATAAATAATCAAAACATTACAAAGATACATCGATTATTAAAATTCACAAAATATCGTATGACGTCCGTCTTGGTACAATTATTACTTAGGAGTGACGTCACGAGCCCCCAGTCACGAGAGCTTTATTGTGGGGAAACGCCGCCGACATTCAAACTATTTTTGTGCTGCAGAAGAGAGTTATTCGATCAATTTATAATCTTAAAATTAAGGATTCCTTAAGAGAAAGGTTTAAACAATTTGGAATAATGACGGTCGCATCACAATACATATACGAAAATGTATTACTTGTAAGAAAAAAATATTAATTTGTTTCTTGAAAACAGTGATGTTCACACACTTAATACAAGAAATAAAAATAAACTAACTTTACCTGCTACTAGGCTTCACAAAATCAACAATTCTTTTAAAGGTCTTTGTGTTCGCTTATACAATAAAGTCCCAAGCAATATCCAAGAGTTAACCATAAATGAATTCAAAGATTGTATAAAAAGCACTTATTAAAAAAGCTTATTACAAAGTGTCTGATTGTATTACAGATAAAAATGCTTGGGTTTGAACTGTACCAATCATGAACAGGTTTTCTATATTAAATAAATCATGATTGTATTGACGTTGTAACAACATAATGATTTGTAAATGTTGTTACATTATGCTTTTAATGTTGTGGAGTATTTTTCGCTCGTTTTTCTCCGCAGCTAAAAAATATGTCCAATAACGAGTGGTAGGGAAAAATCCAATTTCAATAAAGATATATTGATTTCTGATTTCCCACTTTGAAACACACCAAGCTTTGAAGCGTTTTACCTTTATAATGATTTGGTTGATTGACAATAGACAAAATAAGTGTACCTTATTTTTTGGCAATCTAGCTAACGGACTAAATAAAATTTCGTTTAATTAACGCCACCAGCATATTGGTACTTAGAGGTTCTCCTGAAGGAAGATCGTAGGGGTTGTTGTACAGTGGTATACTTATTATTATGTTTAGAAACACAAAACAATAGATATTTATTGCATAATCCTTTATTCAGCTCGGTAGCCTGAATGCACTGTTCTATGGCTGTATATCATAACTACCTTCAACTTAATTAACATTATTGATCATAATAAAGTAAAAAGTACTCTCATCACAATCCTACTTACAATAATAATACATAACACTTATCTATCTAGTGTATCTACAAATGTAATTATTGGAACTTTACACGTATTCATTCGAACTCAGGAATACAAATAATCTTTAATTATAGTGTATCGATCGAATTTCTGCCTGAATTCAATCTCTAGAATGATCGCTGTGAAACAAAAGGCTTTCATATTCCAACCTTTGAATTATAAGGTTTACTTGTAATATAACTGCAAAGAGGTTACACAAACAAAGAGCCCATAAGTGTCGCCGCACACGGGCCACACGCTACAGCCACAAACGCCGCCACGAGAAGCTAGAAGCGGCTACTAAAGTGGCTGAAGCACGCGACAGCGGCCGACTAAGGTAAGGGAGAGAGGGGTGGGGAATCGCGCGAGTGACGTGTGGCAGTGTTTGTGTCGGCGCATTAAGTGGCCGGTGCGGGCCACAAGAAGCGCGCAACGACGATATGTAGCGTGTGGCGGCCACCGGCGTACCGTGTGTGGCGAGTCCATAAAAAATGTATGAAAACTACAAGAAATATGACGGTGGCGGCGTTTTGTGGTTGTGGTCGGTGGCCCGTGTGCGGCGACACTAAAGCTACGGGCGTTACAGTACCCTTAGCACGAACCAATATCGAATAAGTAACATTTGCGAGTACGAAATGTCATTGTCAAATGTGTACCTACTGATTTTTAGTTCTCGTTACGTACTTTGCGGTGCTGTTTCCATACAAAATTTAACATTGATATTTAACACTCGCAAACTATCTGAATTCGATAATGGTTCGTGCTAGGGGTACAGTACCCTTAGCACGAACCATTATCGAATTCGAATAGTTTGCAAACCGAAATGTCAATGTCAAATTTTGTATGGAAACTTGAACAGCAGCGGCACAAAGTACGTAACGAGAACTAAAAATCAGTACACATTTGACAATGACATTTCGGACTCGCAAACGATACGAATTCGATATTGGTTCGTGCTAGGGGTACTGTACCTATTAATTCAACTTAAAATTTTATTTTTACTGTATATTCGTTCACGATAACTAGCACAAAGTTTATGAATATATAGTAACGTAGTCTTTTTCTTCATTCGCTTAGATTGCGAGGGGTGCTTTATATTTGGACGATATATTTTTTCTTTGACATAAAATACATTCTCCAAACAAAAATATCTACCATTGATAGTTAAAATAAAATTATGTTTCTATAAAGTATCAGAGGTTCGAATTTGTCGATTTGTTATTGTGATGAAGACGAGCATTTGTGCTTAAATCATTAATATATATACTACACACATCAAAAGTGTCTAGGGATCAAGCATTTTTATGCGGATTTCTTGAGATTGAGATGTGGCTTTGTAATAAATTTATGATTTTATAAATTTATATGGATCCTTTTTGGTGCATTTCATAATTTGAATCAGGAACTGTGAATCAAATTCGAGTAAAAGATGAAAATCAGCTGTCAATATTTTCCCTATAAAAACATACAACGCATTGAAGACATTATTAGTGCTACTGTTTCCCTACTACTGATTAAAACCAACGTTATTATGGAGCGGCGACGTCATTTAAGCAGGGAAGAAATGCTCAGAGCCGTGGGAATGATAGAAGCTGGTTCCCGGCAACGTACTGTGGCTTTAGCTCTGAATACAAGTCAGAGTGTTATCAGTCGACTTTGGACACGATACCGAAGCACTGGTACCGTGGCTGAGCGCCATGGAGGACGGTATCGCTGCACCACACGGAGACAAGACCGATACATTCAAATCTTAACTCGAAGAGCTCCAACAATAACCGCCATGATGTTAGCCGTGAGGCTTCATCACTCTTCAGGGAACTTAATTAGCGACCAAACAGTCAGAAACCGCTTGCATGAAGTGAACCTTCATTCCCGAAGACCGCTACGGGTACCACCTATAGCAATGCACAATCGTAGGATTCGATATCAATGGGCTCTTGAACACAGAAATTGGGTAGAAGAACAATGGCGTTTCGTGTGCTTTTCTGATGAGTCTCGTTTTGGTATGAGACCGGATACAAGACGTATACGACACTGGAGAACCCCTGGACGCCAACAGCGATTAAAATCCTGCCAGGAAGTCCATCCTTATAGTGGTGGAACCATCATGGTATGGGCGGGTATTTGGATCGGCGGAAGAACTGAGTTGATTTGGATCAGAGGCAACCTCAACGCTCAAATTTATGCTGAGACGATTGTATCAGACGTCATCGTTCCTCTACAAGTGCAAATCGGTCCCTTATTTCAGTTAATGCATGATAATGCACGACCGCACACCGCAAGAGTTGTAAGACAGACTCTCGCCGCAGCTAACATCAATGTCCTGCCCTGGCCTGCTCAGTCGCCAGACTTGAACCCGATTGAGCATGCATGGGATATGCTACAGAGAAGAGCTCTGCCGAATATGGAGGGTATCCAGTCGCAAGAAGACCTTTTTTTGTTGTTGCAACGAACATGGGCGGCCATTCCACAGCGTGATTTGGATGAACTCATTTTGAGTATGCCAAACCGATGTTCTTGTGTTGTTAGTGTTCGCGGTAGAAATACGGATTATTAATTGATAAAGTTACCCAATAAAATTTTAGAGAAAACTGTTATTTCAGTCTTTTTTTCGAACTTTTGTGTTAGTGGTTCAAATGTCAAAAATCCCTTTATTAGGAAAATGGCAAATTTCTTTATTAATGCAAAGGTGACTTGGTTTATCGTTACTGTGACAAACGAAAACACTTTCTTTGATGAATGCTTAAAGAAAATTTTAATTAATATCAATCAGGAGAAAAGTTATTGCAAAAATATATGTTGATCCCTAGACACTTTTGATGTGTGTAGTAGCTGACTGACCCAGCGAACTTCGTACCGCCATAAAAATAGGGGCTGGTGGTAGAAGGGTGAAATTTTCGGGTTGTATATATATTTTGATGCCACATTATTAATAAATAAAATTTTGTTCAAAAAAAAAAAATGTTAAGGGTGGACAACCCTTATCACTTAGGGGTATGAAAAATAGATAGTAGCCGATTCTCAGACCTACTGAATGTGCATATAAAATTTCATAAAAATCGGTCGAGCCGTTTCGGAGGAGTATGGTAACTAACATTGTGACACGAGAATTTTATATATAAGACTAGCTGACCCAGCGAACTTCGTACCGCTATAAAAAATAGGGGTTGGTGGTAGAAAGTTGAATTTAGGGATGTATGTATTTTTATATGATGTATCATAAAAAAATAAAAAAAAAATCCAAAATTTAAAAAAAAAATTTAGTGTTGGAATACCCTTAACATTTAGGGGGATGAAAAATAGATGTTGTACGATTCTCAGACCTACCCAATATGCACACAAAATTTCATGAATCGAGAAAGCCGTTTCGGAGGAGTTTAACCACAAACACCGCGACACGAGAATTTTATATATTAGATATATGTATGTATTCTTACTTACTGCTTACTTTGAAGCTAAGCTAATTGGTGTGTGTGTGTGTGTTTTTTTAAGTTTCCTTCCAGGAGGGAAGTTGTTGTGAAATCCTCATGGATGTGCGCGGCTATGTCACTCACACAGCTTCGTCTGATGCGATCATCCCCTGAGAAGGGGAATGTTAGAAATATTTATTTATTTTTCCTCTCTTCTCTCTCCAACAGATATCATCTCAACACCCGACTCCCGTACATAAAGCTGTACATAGAGAACGAAGAATTCAACATTGATGGACAGCGTTGCGAAAACATTATGACGTGTCCGATGAGACCTATCACATCTGGTGAGAATCTTATTAGTACTTTTCCAACTTAGACCTATATTCAGAGAAAATATTAAGTATTTCTAGATATCTTTCCGCATTTAGATTCCATTTGTAAAAATGTATTAAGAGAACCCGGTTTTTAACTAAAATGAAAAACACAAAAAAACAGTACCCTTAGCACGAACCAATATCGAATTCGTATGGTTTTCGAGTGCGAAATGTCATTATCAGATGTGTACTGATTTAAGGTTCTCGTTATGTACTTTGTGGCGCTGCTGTATAAGATTCCATACAAAATTTGACATTGACATTTCACATTCGCTAACTATTCGAATTCGATAATGGTTCGTGCTAGGGGTACAGACGCTTGAAAATGTATGTGTTCCATTTTCGAATTATTATTTTTACAAATTTCTGTCAATCGCATTGTAACTGAGTTCAAAAAGAAATGCATACGTACTACAGTTTGTATATTACTTTATTATTTTTATCACGTAATCAGACATTCCTTTCTTATTCATATTTATTAATTAATTATTCAAATAATCTCTATGATAAACCCTTTCGATGGTTATCATAAAATATGACGTGTTTTTTTTTCGAAATTTCACGAGTTTGATTCCCTGTTGTAGCAGTCGATTTTTAAAAAATCTGTGAATGCAGTTCTAGTTATTATTAAAAATGAAATGATGTCTTCTTTCAGTAAAATATCCTATCTTTAATATTTAATATACTTTCCCTCCGTGTAAGGTAGCCGTGGCACGCCCTGTATATATATATATATATATATATATATATATATATATATATTTGCGATCGGAATCGCTTGAATGTGCCTACTACTATGTAGCCCCAATTTCTAAAATACTGCAGGGAAAAGTTTAATACATGGTTTATATGAAAGAAAATTTAAAAATTAAATATATAAATATAATTTCTAAGGCAATGAGTTGCATAAGCGACTCCACATCTTTCATAATGCTATGCATCGAGTGACTGATGGAACAATACCTACCGTCTTGGTTACTTATCGGTACTCCGCCGGTATGAATTGTATGATTTTCTTTTTTTCTTTGTGAAGGGACGGTAGCAAAATAATAATTTTGTCATTCGCTCGTAAACATGCCAGATTTCATTTTTGTATTATGATTGTACTAATAACAATAGTTACCTATAATGCTTGATTATAGTTTTACTAGCAAACCAGTGAGCCAAATGTTCACCAAAACCTGATATAAAAAAAATGTATTTAATTAATTGAGAACTTCGGAGATTTTGTGTGGTTTCGTTTGAAATTCGTGATTTCTCGAAAAGCGGAAGTGCTACGTCACTCATATCCGGTTTGTAGTCGTATCAGACTATTCTTAACTTATAACTTAAATATTCTTAAACCACAGACAGACAGACGGACGGACTTGTCTAATAGATAAGAGATAAAGCAGCTGCGCTGCGTCATTTCAATTAAGTTATAAGTTTTAGTTATGTATCTCATTTTAAGTGAACTGTCTGTGTAAGTTCGCATGAGAAATAAAATTATTTAAACCTAACATAGTAGAATCAATAGCGTGGTTTGTGGATTTATAACAATGAATAGTAATTTTTGACTGCGTGAATACAAAATTTAGGGTGCTCTAGTAGGATACGCGAATGGAGATTGTATTATTATGTAGTTACAAGCTTACATCCCAAATTGAGCTTTAAAAGAGTGAAAATCTCAAGAACATATCCGAACTCTCAGAAAATATTAGCAAAAATATAATTTTATATCTGCATTTGCACATATATTTTGTCTAATTTTGTATTAAATGATTTCCAAAGAATATCAAAAAACACCGATTTCATTTCAAACACTTGCACAATCTAGCGAAGTAAGTACCCTTATAATAATAATAATGTATCGAGCGAAACTTAGAAGTTCTCAAAAAGTGCGTTGCCTCGGGAGTTTCGGGAAGATGGATGGGGCCCCCAACTCCGGACGTACAAGAAGCAATGGCTCCCCGGAGACTCGTCATAATGCTTGGTTCATGTCCATTCTACGTATATATGGCTTGTTTATTTCCCTATGAATATAGGAGGTTCAGATAACTATGTAATGTTATCGTATAACTTTGATTTTGAACATTAGGGACTTCTGGATATATCTATATAGATACCGAATAGTTTTAAACAAAAAATATTTTCGATTGGTTGAAATTATCGTATAATAATCTGTATGTGTAATATGAGAAGCTCGAAGGCGCGGGTGGTTAGCGCGTTCGGCTGCGATCGTTGAAGTTAAGCAACTTTCGCAGTGGTCGGTCATTGGATGGGTGACCAAAAATCTTTTATCTCGAGTTCCTCCGTGCTTCGGAGGGCACGTTAAGCCGTTGGTCCCGGCTGCATCTGCAGTCGTTAGCACCCGCCAATCCGCACTGGGCACTTGTGGTGGGTCATGGCCCAATCTCATTATTCCATTAATAGGGAAGGCCTGTGCCCCAGCAGTGGGGACATTAATAGGCTGATGATGATGATGAAGCGTCTATAAGTTATGGTGATCGCGTACCATCAGGCGGACCATATGCTTCTACGCCATAGTTTTAACACAAAAAAAAACTTTTTGTTAAATAAACAGTGCCCTTATTAAATCACGATCTGATAAGAAACCAAACCTTTTAATAACAATAAAACGAAAGAAAATATAACTAGAAAAAAACCACGCGGACCAGGCAGCAGACGGGACTCGAACCCGCACCCTTCGCAATCCGGGTGAATGCACTAACCAATTATGCTACCACGGCCCTGATGGCTGCGTCGAAATTCCTCTAGCCATTTTTAAGCTGCAAGGTAGCATAATTGGTCAGTGCATTCGCCCGGATTGCGAAGGGTGCGGGTTCGGGTTCCGTCTGCTGCCTGGTCCGCTTGGTATTTTTTCTAGTTATATTTTCTTTAGATTTGAACACCAAACAGTTACATGCTTAAAAATAAAAAATCTAAAAAAATAAATTGGCTAAAAAAACGGCCTCTCGGGTGTTAAGGCGGTTTTTCCTCGGCACTTATGTGAAAATCTGCCCGCTTTAACCGCCAACCGACTACCTGTTATAATTTTTCGTTATTCTACTTGGCTGACGGAAAATTTACGACGGTCATAAATAACGAGCACCCAATAATGGGAATTAAATCCGCGCTCCTACCACTTAAGTTCTCCCCAGGGGAAAGTTGTTAAAACTTTTAAAGTAACAGCGTAAAATAAAAAGAAATATTCATAACGAAATCTTGCACCAGCACTTTGCTAAACATATGTTTCTCACTTCGAAATTATTTCGCATCATTTTCTACTCAGTAAGCCTGGTCTGAGGTGTGGTCTAAATCTCCGACGCCTCATGTGTCTCTAAACACTTTGTCCTTCTGTATGTGTTTTATGAACACATACAGAAGCCACAAACCACAAAAAAAAATTGTAAAAGCTACAATCAAAACACTTTAAGAAAGAAAAGTTAACATACAGGGCTGTATGGACTCAGAATCCTTTGCCCGTCCCAACAGGGACATATTGACCAAAAAAAAAATGCATAGCAAATAAAATATTAGAATAAATTAGGTATTTTTCTGGTATCATTTTGGTCACAACATTATATTGCTATTCCACGTTCTTACACTTTACATCGAATGGGAAGGATTCGTTTGTAATTCTTAAAAGAAATTCGATAAATTCCGGGTAAAATCCTTAAATTAAAAAGTTTCATGACGACGTTAAATATAAAAGACATAATTTAGGAAGAGTTGGGTGTGTGGTAAGCAAGTTTGATACGCAATCTTGGAAGTTAACTTCCAACCTTAAGCAGCTATCGCAATTGCCAGTCATTGGATAGATGACTATAAATTTCGTATCTCGAACTTGTCTGTGCTTCGAAAGGCACGATATTCAGTTGGTCCCGGCTGCATCTGCATTTACTAATGACTGCAGATGCAGCCAGTCCAACAACGGAGGTCGCGAAGTCTCATTTCCTCACTAGAATTCATAGAAAAGGCCTGTGCCCCAACAGTGGGAATTTATAGGATGATGATCAGACCCGTCTTTCCCAGTGGGGACTTTGGGCAAGTGCCCAGGGCTCCGCGATCAATAGGGGCCTCCCTCAGATCAAATACAAAGTCCCTAGTTCGTATGGGCCCCATTATCCTAATATGCCCAGGGCCTCCAATAGGTCAAAGACGGTACTGATGATGATGATGATGATAGATTACTACCGCTTCAGCTGTCTTCGCATCTAGACTCCTCAAACACTGATTTGTTCATTTGGTGGACTTTGAATAACGAAACTGTATTTAAAGAATATTTTACCAGAAACATTCTTCGCCAACCAATTGGTTGGCGTGGCTTAATTATGCTACTGAGATCTTAATGGCCGTGTCAGATTTCCCATACTATATCTTAGGCATTGAAGGTAACACACAATGTCCAACGAAATTTAAAAGTATAGGGTTCGAAACCTTTCCTCTTCCGTAATCCCATCGAATACCAGGACGTCGTGCAATTCCATTTCCTAAGTAAAAAATCCTTTGGATTCTAAATCTAGCAGTTACGTGCTTCAAATTAAAATACCTACAATAAAACTATATTTCGCAGGTTCCGAGAACTGTCCATACGACTACATAAAGATTTACGACGGTAAAGACGAGTCTGCGTCTGTGATCGGCACCTTCTGCGGTATGGGCAAGTTCCCGTACTCCATCATTGGCACCTCCCAAGACCTCTTCGTGGAGTTCGTCAGCTCACCAGCGGGTATGTAGCATTGAAGCTTGCCAGTAAGTTCCAACTAACTTGAGCTCTAACCGTCTTATTCCAAAGATTAAAGTTAGTCTTGGTTTAAACCTAATGCTGCCTCAGTTTTCTCTTTAGCAAATGAAAGTAACAGCATTAGTTTTAGACCAGGTTTAGCTTTAGTCACCGCGGCAGAATCCCTAAACGGGGATCCCGCGGTTTCGCACTTAGCAGCTTAGAGAGTATTCGCAGGGTTTTTTAGCTGATATTATGCAGTAAAGCGTCCGTAAGAGTTACGAGGTCCTCAGTGGGCAGCCACTGCGGGGGCTGGTAAGGCTTCGGCGATGTGCCTCTTATAGGCGCCGTCGTATATATATAAATAGAGGTAAATAGAGGATCGTCTATAAAGTAACTTATTTGCCTGTATTTCGTACATTGCCTTTAATAATGTTTAAAAACTCGCCTACCCCGTAGGTAAAGATTACGCAACAAAAAAACGCCGTCTTTTTTAATCTGTTCCAGTGTTTCGTTCAATAGCGAAATCAAAACTTCCCCCGTCAATATTGGAGTAAATAAACGTCATGAGCTAACTTTTAATCGGAGAAAAAACAAAACAATCATTGAGCGTGAATGAAATAATAAATCCTAACAAAAACATTAATGAAAACTACAATATATTTCATGATATTTTAGTGAAAATATTAGATAAATGCATACCTAAACGTAAAATTAAATTCAAATCTAAAAAAATATTGGTTAACTGCAGGATTAAAAAAATCATGTAAAAATAAAAGGTTGCTAAAAATAATTTCTTTAAAATCTAACAATCCCATCTTACAGAATCATTACAGGCAATATGAAAAAATATTAAAAAAAAATATCAAAAAGAATGCATTATAAAAATAGAATAAACAGCTCCAATAATAAAGTAAAGACTATGTGGCACGTTATTAACGAGAGAACAAATAAAATAAATAGAAAATCGAAATGTAATATAAAATTAAATATAAATAAAGTAATACAATCAGACCCTAAACTAGTTGCAAATTCATTTAATGATTTTTTTTTTCTCCATCGGGCAGCCCAACTCACAGCAACAGGGCTGCGATACTGGAGGTGCCGGACCAGCTAACTGTGTGCGCGGCCACCCTGTAGTTCACCCCACAGAAAACTCAATGTATCTTAGCCCGGTCGACTGCAGCGAGGTCAAAAGAATCATAAAAAACCTAAAAAATAAAAAAAGTTATGGAGTGGATGAGTTACCACCTAGTTTATTTAGAGAGTGCGCCGAAGAATTGGCTATGCTATTTAGTTTGTTAATAAACCAGTCATTTAGTGAGGGCGTTTTTCCCGATTTACTGAAAAATACTTTGGTAAAACCTATTCACGAGAAAAATGAGATAACTAATCCAAGTAATTATAGACCTATTTCAATTTTAACTACAGCATCAAAAATGTTTGAGAAAGCAATGAGTGATAGAGTTATGATTTTTTTTGAAAAATACAAAATATTCGATGATTCACAAAATGGTTTTCGGAAAAATCGTTCCACAATTTTAGCCGTGCATAAATACATACAAGAAGTTGTTACATTGTTAAATAATAAACAATACGGTGTAGGTATACTGTTAGATATGACTAAAGCATATGACAGAGTACAGCACAATATCTTGCTAAACAAATTGTATGGCATGGGCATTCGTGGATCTGCGCACAAATGGTTTGCATCATACTTAAAAGATAGGCGCCAATATGTAGAAATTGAATACTTTGATGATAGTGGAAACATCACACGCGTACGCTCCGATTGTAAAATTGTAAACGCATCTATACCTCAAGGAAGCGTAGTTGGATGTCTTCTGTTTTTGGCTTGCATAAACGACCTTCCAAAGATTATGGAGGAGCCCTGCATTCTGTTCGCAGACGATATCTCCTTACTTACCTCATGCCACAACAATAACAATAATGATGTTAACAAAAATTTGAATTGCCTACTTAACAAAACTTTAGACTGGTTAAATGATCACAATTTAAAAGTAAATTTTACAAAAACCAAAATAATTACTTTCCATCCACACCAGAAAACTCAATTAAATTTAAATTTTATCTACAACGGTATAAGATTGGATTGTGTGAAAGAGTTCACATTGTTGGGTATAGTGATAGATAGGCACCTCAACTGGAAAGCTCACGTACAAAAAACAAAATCTAAACTGTCTAGCTTTGCTTATGCACTACGCGAGGTAAAAAAGGCGACTGATAGAGAAACAGCTATAGTTACATACTACGCTTACGCCCATGCTTGGCTGTGTTACGGGGTGGTGTTGTGGGGTAACAGTACGGAAGCACATTTGCTGCTTACCATGCAAAAGAAGTTAATCCGTATCATATCCAACATCGAGCAGACGGAGAGCTGTAGACCATTCTTTCAAGAGTATCAGATACTTCCACTACCGTGTTTGTATATTTTGGAAATGTACAAGTTTGTGCGCAAACATAGCGAATTCTACACTAGACGACAAGACATTCCATCTAGATACACATCTCGACACAACAATAAATTAATATTGCCTAATTCTAGGCTAAAACTATCATCATCAAGCACATTTAATTCATCAATTAAAATTTATAACAAATTGCCCAATACAATAATGAATGAAAATAATTACTTGACATTTAAAAATAAATTAAAGGATTTTTTAATTAACAAATGTTTTTATAATGTAAATGAATATTTTAATGATAAGATCAGTAATTATTAATGTACATGTACAAATAATTTATTTAATTATTTATTATATTTTATATTTAATTTTGTGAAATTATTTATATTATTATTTATAATTAAATCAGATCCAATCCAATTATAACAATCAAAAACAAACATATGAAACAATCTCTAACATCCAATTTAAATTTTACTATTAGTGTTGTTCTTCTGAGAAGCGTATCCTCTCTTCTAATAACCAATTGCGTGCCCGACGGGGTCCATAATGCTCATATTTATATAAGTACCTACCACCCACTGTACACATTATGGTTGCAATAAATGATTTGAGTTTGAGTTTGAGTTGAGGTTTTGACGTCCCAAAGGAACTTGATAAAAAACGTTTGGGCCTATACACGCAACTTTTTGCTAAATTCGATATTGGTTTGTGCTTAGGGTACTGAACCTGGAATTATTTAAGAGGCGAGTAAAAAAAAACATCTGGATATTCGCGTGATAAAAGCATAGATATAGTGATAACATCGTGATCGTGATAAAATTATAGGATGTAGATAAAATACGAGAATACACAGTAAACATTTATTTTAGAGATGTCTCTTAAATAATTCGTTTTCTCAAGTTGAAATGCCGAATTACTGTTGTACAGTTAGACGGACATCTACAAACAGAAACGAATTTATACTATGCTAAACAACTTAAAAACTAACTTCAAAAGTACCTAAGATACGTAGTTTTACTTAAGTATATTTTGCTCACTCAATTGTACATTTCACTTACTTACAGCGAACTGTAGCTAGGGGTGAATCTTCGGGTATTTATGAGACACCCAAAGCACTCATTTGTCATAATGTTTTACTTGGCCTGTGTCCAAATGGTAGATTTCGGTTGACTGATTATGATAAAATACGCTCTGTACCTTATACTTAGACAGACATACACTTATATCTAATGGCCGCACACAGGGACGTTAATAAAGTTTTTAGTTTAATTAAAGTTGGAGCTCTCATTCTTTGTGAAACCTAATTAAAGAAATTTCGTTTGAGTGTGGCAATTGTCGTCGTCATCATCGTCAATCTAGCGGTACAAGGCTCTAAATGAATATTTCCATGTTCATCGTCAGTGAAAATATCATTGTCACAATCGAACTCCGGTTCGACTTGGTCATTTCCATCAATTTTTTGAGTATCTGCAAATATTTTGCACCGTCTTTTTCCCTTTAGTGGATGCTGGGTTTAACTATTGTGAAATAGTTCAAAATATTATCAAATCAAATCATCTTTATTGCGAATACATGTTACAAAGTTATTATCGAAATACATTTTAGTACAGTACAGCCATATTCTGCCTTATCGGCATGCAATATAGTATTTCTATAAATCATTAATTGCTTCAATGTCAATTTAACAAATTTTACATAGTTTATTCAAAATGACAATAAACGATAAATTTAAGATTGTATTTATTTCATGAATATCATTTTTTTTAACTCAGTCTAAAAACGTTTGTTATTTAGAAAAGTTTTAAGACTGAGTTAAAAAACACTTATTGAAACAGATTCGGATTGTTAACTGTGTCCCTAATATTAAAAATTTTATTCAGTGGTAGTTACAAAAAAGAATAATACTCAGTTTAACCAATATTATCCTATCTAGTATTACAATATGCAGGTATAAGCCTCCGCGATACCTAAATTAATGCCAAATATAGACGTTACTTTTATATCGTGGGAGTCTTAAAAATTTATACAATCGATTGGAATGTCAAGTACGCCCGATTTAAGGGTAGGCGGGTTTTATGTAGTTTTATTAACTTATTCCGCTAAGAGAGATGATAAGATGTTAAGAAAACGAAATTCTATTTAGTTCGTCAGTTAGATAATCAAAAAATAAAGGAGATCCTTTTTCTTTTGTCAATCAACCAAAATGAGAAAGCTTCAAAGTTTGGCAGTGGGACCTCGTGCTGTCACTTCTAAGTAAAATATTGTACCACGACGTGACGTCATGTTAGTTAATGTTTTGATTATGTGCATAAATAGCAAATACGTGTCCTATAATTTTTGACAATCTACCTGATAGACTACAGAACACAGGAAAATGTTAGAAGGGTGATCATTGACCGTTTTTACAGGAACGATGTCGCCGGCTAACCCCCACTACACTTCCACCTAATCTATACTTATAATAAATCTGTAGAGAGGTCAATTCTGTACATGAAATATATTTTCAAAATAACTATCAGGGGGTGATCAGTGATCGATACTGATGCCAAAAATGCAATCAGTAAAATTTTTGTCTGTCTGTCTGTCTGTCTGTGTGTATGTTCCTTATAGAAACAAAAACTACTCGACAGATTTTAACGAAACTTGGTACAATTATTCTTCATACTCCTGAGCAGGTTATAGTATACTTTTCATCACGCTACAATCAATAGCAGCAGAGTAGTGAAGGGAAATGTTGGGAAAACGGGAGAAGTTACTCCATTTTTTAAGCTTCCGTCGCGTGTGCAGCCTTAATGGTTAAAGTTACATAGAAATCATGTATGACGGAAATATTCTACATAAAATTGTCTAAAAAATATCCCGCAACAGCATATGTCTATCTTTTATGGTTGACTCACAATAACACGTGTAATTATATAAATAAAGTCATTCTTTATAGCACAAGCCTGAGAACAAAAACTATAGTTTACACTACAGCTCTACACCGAAGCGAAGCGAGGGCGGGCCACTAGTATATAATAATAGCCAATCAAACCAATCCGTGCTCACACCCGAGAACGACGACGCAATCAGAACCAAGTTTAGTCAAGTTATGAGCATTTTCTCACACATAACAGTGACGCCGCCTGCCCCGCCCATAAGGCCCAAAACCTGTGTGTTTCTGTGTTCTGAGTGATAGACCAAGGAAAAAAAGTTACTTATCATCCCTTTTGTCACTTTAAAAAAACAACTTATATCCACCAGGACCTCTCCTGAACACCGGATTCCACTTCAACGTGGGCAACTGGCCGGGCCACGTAGAAGCACCCGGGTCCAAGGTCGGGACTTGCGACTGGGTGTTGACGGCCGAGTCCCTAAAAGCGTCGGGGGACACTGAGGGCATATTCCTGTCGGTGGCCCACTGGTACCCTCCGCACACGTCCTGCACTTATCTGATGAAAGGTTTCCCGGGACAGGTGGTCAGACTGTACTTTCCAAGGCGAGTAGATTTTTTATTTTTTATTTATTCACTTATCATAGTGATCAGTATAGGTATTCTTTAAGATGCAATCTCACTTATGATTTAATTTATTTGGATTTCTGAAAAACGTCAAACGATTTGCGCAAGGTGACAGGAGCTGGATGCGAGTAGCCCAAGATAGATCTGCGTGGCGTGCAATTGGAGAGGCCTATGTCCAGCTGTGAACTAGGATAGGCTGTTGGTGAGGATGATGATGATGATCTAATACTGGATGCTTCTACAGATAAAGCGACATTTTTCCGTGTAATGGCGTAATACTTATCCAACTAGTGTCTGAAATGGCAGCTACCGAAATCAGAAGTGAGGTTTTATTTTAAAGAATCGATAAGAATAGATACCCTACAGTAGGTACTACCGTAGCTTCTTCACCTTCACAAGTGCTTGTAACAGCCTAGACTGAATAAATGATTTTTTATTTGATTTTTTGATTTTGTTTATAGTTTGTTGTATATTTAAGTGAAACTTTTATTACATCGCTACAAATAATATCGTTCATCTATAGCATCTCGCATTTATCAACAAGAAATACAAGCAATGGTGGTTTAGTGTTAGAGAGCTCACCTGCTACGCTTTTTTTTATTAACGATTTAAAAGATTCACTTGCATCGTGGTTTCATAAAAAAGCACTTTTTTTATGAGTGCATTAGAAACGGCAATTGCTTATAGCAATTCTATTTATTCATCAGGAAGTTACGTGTCTATATTATAGGAAACAGTTTAATGTATTCCAAGGTCTTAAGTTGAGTTTCTTATTTATTTACTTAAAAGGTTCACACTCAACAAATAATCAAATACAATCATTGACACGAACACACTTATATCAATGTTACAATTATTAAGAATTAAGACACTTAACAAGTGCAAATGAAATAAAATCATAGAACTGCAACTGGTAAATTGCTAATCTGTTTATGTTTACAAAGTAAGAACGCTTCAGTTTGAAAAATGTTCTGTGCAATTAGTCTTGGTTTTGCATATTAACCGTAAATTATCTTAAGAGGTAAAACTACCCGCTTTACTTTCTTTTGTTTCCCAGTTAATTTCAAGCTACTATATTGTTTACAATGTAGATAATTTATGCAATGTTTTTTTTTTCGATTAACTTGTGTAACTTTGGTATTGTATTAAATTAACTTTACAGTGTATACTATAGATCATTACAATCAGTCTAATCATGTCCCCACTTCTGGAGAATAGATCGTATCTATGGATAGAATAGGGAGAACAGGTCCACGCGAGTTCAGAGCGAATTAGAGGGACCCTACGGCTCAACGTGTTTTTCAGAACCTTATCATTTCAGACTGGTCATTGCAAAAGTTTTTTAACTTCCATCGGAAGAGCAAACCTCTGTACCATCGAGCCCTTCCTCTTAAGACGTCAATTTTGTCACTTCCTTGTGATAGCAATAGAGTAGGACAAATTACATAAACCCGTCTTTAAGTTCGGTGGACAGCGTAAAGCCTCCAGTTCAGTCGATCTTCCCCGTGTAATCGATAATATCTCAAATCACCCTATCACATGTTTCTAAAATACGCCGAGAATATAATTAACAGATATTTATATTTTCTTTACCAGTTTCCGGATCAACCGCATAGAATCACCGATAGTGCCGTGGACCGGAGACTGCGGTGAATCCCTGACTTTGTATGATGCACCAAGGCCAGACGATGCTAGAATCATCAAGACCTTCTGCGACACCTTCAGCAGGCCGATGGAGAAACACGATTTTGTCTCCACTGGCAACGCCATGTTCGTACGATTCGAAAGCAAGACGGGAAGTTACAGCGGGTGAGAATTGAATAGACGTAATGTTGAAAATTTTAATTGCTTCCATAATATAGTGTTTCAGTTAAATAACTGCCCTTATCCCAAATTTTTAAGTGCTATAAAATCCTAAAAGTTGTATAACATTCTTCAAAAATGCCACATAAACTCTAGGATTACTCGTATTTTAAGTTATGAACACTTTGTAACTTAGCGTTACTGTTACCAATATTAATTTAAATACCATGAAGTTCAGAAACATAACTAAACTCAAAATTTTCAGATCATCCCTGTACTACTGGGCGCATTACGATTTCTTCAATAATACACGTTTCGGGGAACCAGTCCAAGGAACTGCGTGCGATGAAGTCATTGCTTCTTGGAAGCAAAGAGCTGGTCGTCTGCGTTCTCCCCTCAACACCTTGGTTTACAAGCAGGCTCCACCAGGCGAAGACGTCCATTGTCTCTACAGATTTGTGACAGACAAAAGAATTTACGCAAGAGTTATTCTGACAATATTGAGTGTAAATTTCAAGGTTAGTTCCAATAGTGAGACGCTTCAAAGTAGGAATTTCAATTAAGATTGTAAATCTCTGGCAATATTGTTCATTAATCGTATTAAACTTTAAACTATTCAAATTAAATTAGACTTATATACAATGGATGAAAGGCCAAATTAATTATTTCGAAAGCAATCGATTTACTTTACTGGTAGTGTGATTATAAAACTAACTATTGTTTTTTTTTAACTCGGTGTTCTCTTGTCTCAGGAACATCCTTATACCCCTGTGTCCTGTCAAAACTGTTACGAAGACCGCGCCGACAAGCTTATCATCTGGGAACCATTCCCGGGCGGAAAATCTGCAAACGCTTCTATCGGAGTAACATCCACACCTCTTCCTCTGCACTTAGCTGTTCAAAGATCTTTGGGCTCGTGCCTTTGTGCCAAACACGCAAACACTGTATCAAGAGCAAGACCTTACAGAGTCGTGTCGTCTGGAGAGACGCTCAATCTCCAACTCATAGTTGACAACGCTCATGCAGCGGCATCTTATTTCAAAAATCCGTCACCACTCTTTGAAGCTAGATACGAGTTTGTTCACGGACCTCTTTGTGGTCCCCCGGTTCTGGTAGCTGCTTCTGATGGAGAAATCGTTTATCCACACTTAGAAGCTCTCGGTTACACGGAACCACCTAAAAAGATCCAATGTATTTGGGATTTAGAGATAGAAGAAAAAAGGGACATCTGGTTACGCTTCGACAGCATAAAGTTTGCTTCCAGACATTGTGAAGATGGTAATATTCAAATCTATCTGCCAGGTAGAATTGAGCCGTATCTCTCAATTTGCGGTGGCAATGTAACTGAGACGGAGAAGCTGCCCATCCTCTCAGCTGGGGAACTTGGTTTCGAATCTTTAGATGATCCCCTTGTAATAGAAAAAGATAAAACAAGATCAATTAGAATTGTGTTTATTGGCAGTGCATCTCCAGCGCGGGCGGCTTTCAAAATAGCCTGGACAGGACTTTACCATCTTCCCAAAAATTCTGACGGCACACTAATGACTTCTAAACTGACTGATGGTGGGTCAAAGCCTTCCGATTCAGGGCAAGGTTGTGACTTTATATGTCCCGGAGAAGATGCTTTGTGCATCCCAGCTAGGCTGATGTGCAACGGTGTTATCAATTGTCCTAACGTGACAAGTGGTGAAAGGAAGTTCTGGACAGCTGAAGAGAAAAGAGCTAGAGAGGCATACTCAGAAGATAGTTTGCGAAGGTTGGGATATTTGGATGGTTTAGGAGGTGTACCGTTCGGTCAACTACATGATGAGGCTCCAGAGTTGTGTGCTGGAGCAAGAAGCGCCGTTGGAGGTGATTGGACGGCCCCAGCTTTAGGCGCTGCCTTGGCGATTGTTTTGGGAGTCTGCGCATTACTCGGCGTCTGGCGTTTGTGCTGCCGTAAGAGATCCCCAGACGAAGAATCTTTGGATTACTGACACGCGGCCCGTGGTGCGCCTCATGCACCACCCTCTCTTCATTCCAGGTCCACTTCAAGAGATCTACCCTTGGACTGGAGCCTCCATTGACAGACACTTTACTGAGCGCCGGAACCCTCACAAGTTGTTCACTAAACCCAATAAACTGTTTCGTATTAAGTGCATGTCTAAAACCGTTTCCCAAATTACAGCCGCGCGATCCAATTCATTGTTAAATTAATAACGGCAAGCTTCTAATAGAAACTTATTAAATCACGAGGGTTCTCTATTAAATGTTTTAGGCGCTCAATTAATAGTTGATATGTAATTAATGTATGTAAATACGGTACGGTTAATTAATTCTAATGGTAATGTACGCTTCACACAAACGACGATCATAGGTTATGACAAGGTGATAGTAGCCGAATGACTAAGCAATTATCAATTAGGTAAATATAGTCGTAATGAATTTTGTATTATGATTGCAGTGTAATAAAGACCATTTTCATAGAATTAATGCCATCTATATTATTCTAAAGTTTAAATTATGAGTCTGCATTTATAATGGTTTTTTTTAAGTAAGTACTCCTTAAACAACATTTTACTTTAAAATTTAGTCTCATTCTATGTTAATCAGAAAGAGAGAATATCTAAGAGTATTTACTCTTAGATAAACATTGACGAAAATGTTTTCCCCCAAATCAAGGTTTTGTATCAAAATCAGTCCATGATGATGTTTATGAAGCAAATTGACTGAATCCAAAACATCTTCAATGTCAAGAACTAGTGTGTAATGTAAATAGTGTACGGCTAGGCAATAAAAATGTTATTGATATACCTAAATAAAACACTGACATTAGTAGGTATTTAAAACTTGTGGTGATCGTGAAAAGCATGATCGTAATTTTTGGAAAAGAAAATGAAGTGATTATTGGTGATAATATGCTTTCAATTATAATATAACGCAAAAAATTACATTTCGGATCCATTTCACATTTTCATAGTGAATCCTATTATACAAACGTTAAACGTGAAACTTTCTCACGACTTCGATACAAGCCTTAAAGACAACATAATCTTTTGTACCTAATAGTTACTGCAACAAAATTGTATAATGTTGTCTGCATGTCTCTTCGAATCTTCTCATCTCTCATCAATAATTTAAGTATGAGTATGCCAGTATATAGCCCTATTCCACATTACGCGTTCTATACTCTCACTATTTTATTTGGGATTGACTCACATTCAAACTCTGCATATATCTACTCGAACAGTGCTTCGCCAATATTTGACTCATTTATCTTATATTTTGATGGATCTTTGGAAAATAATAATATATTGCCTCTAATGTCTAGTCCTATTACCTTTTGTGTTGAAAATATATCTAGTCATGGATATTGCGACCATTGTATCAATGTAATGGTCATTATTTGTCTTTTATCGGACTCAATCTTAAATATTTTAGAATCTTTATTTTTGCCATTAATTTTGCGGCAAATATGAAAACAAAAAATAGACACAAAAGAGACATTAACCATAGAGCATTCAAATAAGGATGTTTTATTTAAATTTTCACAATTTTAAATTAGCTAAAACTTATTTTATCAGTTTTTTTAGAAGTGTTTTAATTACGATTAAGTTTGGTTAAAATTAATTGAGCCGAGCGGTACGCTAATCATTAACCTATACGATTTTTAATTAAGGCAACTCATGAAAGATTCCTCTACATGTTCACAAATTCTCTTTGAACTTAAAGACTTAAAAAGTTGAGTTTGTCAAGCTATATTAATTATATGAACCGTGGGGAAAATACCAAATCAAAATAATATTACGAAACTGAAGGATGCTGAAATTGGATCATTTCTGAAATTATCAATAACAATATGAATTTAGGCCCTTAATTAAGGAAAGAAGATGTATTACTGTATTACGTTTCAATCAAAATTGAATTTGTTCTGTAACCTAGAAAGAAAAGCGTCGAGTTTCGTAATTATATTGCTTAGAAATTCCACGTGATGTTTTGATCATCTAATTAGTTTTCGAAAGGATCTTTGAAGTTTGTACATAATTTAAGGAAACGTAAACTTAGTATGATACTTGCGTTCGCAGTAATTTGATTACATCTGTATGACTGATGGAGTGGTTATGACGTCTCGCACATACATAGATATCCTCTCGACACTGCCGTTGTAAAGTTATTTAGCTTGAGAGCGACTTGAAAGGATGTGATGTTGAGCTTATGAATATTTATTTGGGTTAGGCTGGTGCTGTACAGCGCGTAGGCAATGTTATTTTCATCTCGCCACGTGAGTAGATAATAATTATAAAGGGTTAAGTTTTCGACAGTATCAAGGTAGGCATTGTTAATGATATACCCATCTATTTAAGAATTTTCTTAAACTGCAATTCCTATTATAACTTTGCTGTTCAACTACTCAAAGTTTACTAAGATCCTTGCCTATTCGATTCGGTTTTTGAATAGGTACATATTTTTCATACTATTGCAACCTGTGATCGCAACTGACCACACTGCATGCGACGCGCAACATAATTGGCTTGCATATTTGCTAGCTAGTCTCTAAATTCGGCATCAAGCGAGGCTATTTAAAGTGTAAAGCCTAAGCCTTAAACCAAAGTATAATCTGGATGAGCAAGCTGTTTTTTTTTTAAATTATAAATTCTAGCAACATGCGCGATCCTTTTCGTTGCGTTAACAAGATCTAGGCCGAACTTCCCTCAGCGGTTTTTCGTTTTAGCTATGATATGGCGGAATTCAAAAGGCAGGTAAACCTTTTCCTTCGGATCCCTCATGTCGTGATTGGTACCCTTGGTGTTGCAAGTCTCCATGGGCGGCATATACCACTTACCATGAGGTGGTATATCAGCTCGTTTGCCTGCATAATATTAAAAAATCGTTTTAGCATCAGCCTAGTTATCGGACGGTAAATTAGTATTAATGTTATTATTTTAATTTATTACACTATTAAATTTAGTGTTTAAGCAAACGCGATAATGAGTTTTTGAATTTGTTATTGCATAATTAAGTAGTAATGTTAGATTGCATGAATAGAATTTTGTGAGTTAAGGTTTGTTGATTAATCCAATTTGTGTATACTTTAGTGGCAATTATCGAGTGATGTATGTATAAATGGCTCAACATCGAACAGTTTGAATGTTTAGTTTCAATACACCGTTGTATTTATTACGTTAACCATCGGAAAATGTTGAAGAATAAAAATATATTTTCTACAAAAAAAAAACAAAAACTTTCTATTTCATTTCTAGGTTAAGAACCACCCAATCTTGTGATTAATATAATAATAGGGCGTTCGACGTCTTTGCCGCATGTATTGTATGAAAATTACTTTATATATTATAGTTAGAGAATTTTACTAAATATAGACTCTGCGCTTTTTTACTATGAACATTATGAGCTGCATTCAAAGACATTTAAGTAACCGTTTGTCTGAATATGGGATTCGATCCCGCTGTTAAGAGCGGACGTGAGCTGAGAGACATTTGAGAGACAACTCGAGATAGAAGATTTTTGGTCACCCATCCAATGACCGTCCACTGCGAAAGTTGCTCAACTTCAACGACCGCAGCCGAACGCGCTAACCACTGGCGCCATCGAGCTCCTCTCCATCGTCATCATCAGCCTTTAATGTCCCCACTGCTGAAGTACAGGCCTTCGCTATGAATGGAATAGGGAGATTGGACCCATGACCCACCACGCGGCCCAGTGCGGATTGGCGGGTGCTCACGACTGCAGATACAGCCGGGACCAACGGCTTAACGTGCCTTCCGAAGCACGGAGGAACTCGAGATAGAAGATTTTTGGTCACCCATCCAATGACCGTCCACTGCGAAAGTTGCTTAACTTCAACGATCGCAGCCGAACGCGCTAACCACCTGCGCCATCGAGCTCCTCGCGTGGTGGGTCACATGATTATCAGCATATTAATGTCCCTACTGCTGGGGCACAGGCTTTCCCCATGGATGGAAATCCTTAGATTGAGCCGTGACCTACCACGCGAGCCCAGTGCGGATTGGTGGGTGCTAACGACTGCAGATGCAGCCGGGACAGCTTAACGTGCCTTCCAAAGTACGGAATAGATAGTAAAATTTTGGTCACCCATCCTATGACCGACAACTGCGAAAGTTGCTTAACTTCAACGATCGCAACCAAATGCGTTAACCAATTGCGCCATCCAACTCCTGTGTATAATACATAAGTATTGATAAAAGTACATCGATTGTCACTTTTTTTATTGCCAAAATGTTGATACATAATCCACAGATACTCCTGACGATACTTTATCGATGCAAAAAGTATCACGGCGAAAATTCCTGGTACAGTACATATATTGCTGTATCGATCAAAGGAGATAAATTCTCGTGCAGGTGTTGCAATATTTACAGGTTGTTGCGAACACCCGATATGTTGCAGCAAGCCGCTTACCGCCGTGAAAAATGGCGCAATACATACTTTAAGCGTTTGAAGTACCTATGATATTTTGCGCTTTCGCTGCAAACACACGATCACGATTCTCAAGCAGTCTGGTGGATTCTAATGGAAAAAACCTTGACCAGACAATATCAGCAACAGCAAAAAATTTATATTCCAATTCGTAGTTTGTGGTCTATCGGAAGCTAAACAAGATTCATTCAGTGTAAATTTTTATCTTTTATGACTATTTTCGAGGTGGAGGGTGCTTATAACTGCGACAGAGTATGTATTGTGGTGAAGTGCCAATTATGTCTTCTACGTGTAGTAGTTAACGTACAGTAAGTACTATAAAAATAATAATGGAGGTAATTTAATAATTTAACTAAAGAACAAATAGTAAGATATTTATAACTAAAAACCTTAAAATATATAATAACTAAAATACATTATTAAAAGGAGTCCCTTTAGGCAAGGTTCCAAAGATACTGGCAGCGTTCCCCCTTTGAATAGCTAGACTAATTCTTTTTCCGAGGTAGCTGCCAGTTCTTCGGTGTCCTGTGATGTCGACCAACTTTTATGCTATTTCCTTAAAAAGACTTACAGCGCTAGGACCCCACGGACGAAGGGTCTCGACACCGAATGTGACAAAATCATATTCGGAGCCTAGACCCCTAGTTTTTTCAGCCGCTTCGCAAACCGTACCAGCTCTGTTGTTGGTTCCATGTAGATGGGAAGGGGCTAGCGTGTCTGAACAGGTTGCATCCCATACTAGCACCGGCCCATCTTCCATGGAAAATAGATATACTATAATATAATATAAGACGTAGGATAAGTTAATAAAATGTTGATTCCACACTGAACACTCGTCGTCATTTCTCGCGTCGTCAATCCCCCACACCACATCACCACAGTATAACTACTGTGTTGTAAATGTTTTGTAATTGTTTTCTGGAAACTATTTCAATAGAAAAAAAGTTTTGTTTCACATATTTATGATTGGATGCTTCCTAGAACTAAATTTAAGGTCGCGTCTCCTTTTATTCACTATAGAGAATGCTCTATGTGCAAACTCCTCGCTCTCAAGTATTTGTGTTAATTTAGCTCTAGGTTAAAATAATCGTGCCAGACTCAGGCCTGCTATAAATTTATCTTTACGTCGGGCTCCGGCTGGGGTAGACAGAATGAAAAGTACATACACACATTCAAAAAAGTTTGCGATCACTTTGAAAAATAGATTGTTTTTTGTGTTACAGAAGATTTTTTTGTAATTTCTTTTTCTGATAAGGTTCTAAATTTTAAAATAAGAAATAGAACGTAAAACAATAAAATAATTCAATTGTTTTCCATATAAAAAGACATGCAATCCAAGCTGACACTCATTCAGAAATCTGACTTAGTCAATATTATTGAATCTAAAATATTTTTTCACGGAACGTTGTGATTTAAAAAATGCCACGAGGATTATCAGATGTTTTACCAGCCAGAATTGTAACTTGAGGGAAGAAGGTTATACAAGAGAAATAGCAAGCAGAGTTGCCATATCCCAATCCTGTGTAGTAACCACGTTGCAGAGGTACCACGGCATGGGTAATTTAGCTGGTCGACCCCGCAGTGGTCTCCCAACTGTTTTAACAGCTGCTCAGAAGCGCTACATCAGGTTGCTGGTAGCCCGCGACGCAACAATAAACGCCACTAAATTAAAAGCAGAAAGAAATACGGGCCGCCTCCGGACTTGAAGTTAGCACTCAGACCATTCGGAATTACACAAGGCTGGATTACGAGCACGGAGGTCTTGGCGAGCACCTTTGAATTTACGGGAACGTCAGCGACGGAGATTACAGTGGGCTAGTCTCCGGCAAAACGAAGATGACGAAGAGGAAAACATTTGGCAAAACTGCCACTTCGTTAACGATTCGCGAATCAGTACTCATCCATATAACCGACGTGTCCGTGTTTGGAGAAGACCTGGAGACTCTGAAAGGCAAAGAACGGCCACTAGAACGGTTCAGCAAGGCGTGAAATCAGATCAAGGCTTCATGACGACAGACAGACAGCGTGGATTTGTTTTAGTAAATTCTTTACATTTAAAGTAAATGTAGTTAAATGGCTAAATAATAAATATATAAGTATCTAACTATGGGACCATGGGGTCCAAGCGCTCGTTCCTTCTTTAAGGAATTGTCTAAGAGACTCACCGAGGTGACTGGTGATCAAAAGGCTAGAAGTTAACTTGGTTTACGGATTAGCCTTGCCATTCAACGTGGATATGCTGCCAGTCTATTGTGCGCCATTCCTAACGACGGCGCTGGGGGTGATATATTTTTTATTTTGTAAATTGTATATATTATTAAAGTGCTTAGTTATTTCTGCTTTTTAAGTTTTTAGACATTAAGCTTATGTATTCAAAATTTCTATGTAAATATAAATAAAGTATTTTAACTAAAGATAAAGTGGATATGTAGATAGGTGCCTTCATAAAGTAGTCAGAATTTTCGAAATTGTAATTTGAAATAAGCCTAAAATATATATAACTCGATATATAAAAGGGATATTGAGTTTTCCAATTAATAAGTAAAATTTAAAAAACTCCCATGCTGGACTGGGAGCGGAAGAAAAACATAGAAAGTGCCAGCTTTTTACGAGCTTTCCAATGCAAATAGTACAGGACCAACGGGCTAATTATATGAAGCTGAAACTAGCAGAAATTGCAGCAGCGACAGGGTACCTAATGATATTTTCAAGTGTCATCACCCATGCAATGACCGACCTCTGCAAAATTTGCTTAATTTCAACGATCGCAGCCGAATGCGCTAACCACCTACTCCATCGAGCTCCTCCTCAAGTAAAGCTGAGGTGAAATTTTCCAAAAAAGGTATAAAATCTGTTCAATCATCTTCTCTCGCAAATTTCACCTTAGCCTTACTCGAAAATAGGGTCAGGAAGATACCCTAGTGTAAACAACTCGATTACTTTCCTTTACCTTTAAATAAATAAGAAAAAACAAATACCAGAAATACGGTTTGTCTGTTTTGTGACGATCCCGTTGCCTGATGTGTCTGCTAATACTATCTGCTTGTTTCAGCTTCGGGCTGACTATTATTCGTGCTAGCTAGTATTTAACTGAAAATCAAAAAAATTACATTTTGTATAAAAATTAATTCCCAATCCTAAGCAAAAACACTTATTGCACAGTAAAATATTCACCTCAAAATATTGTTATATTAGTAACAATTTAAATTCATGATGCATCGCTATTTATTTAAAACTAAAGCTTTTTTAAGAATGCATAGCTAATAATAACCACCTCTCAACAAATATATTACATTATTTTTTTTTAAACAAAGCTGCCATATTTTTATCGCAAAAAACAGCAGTTTACCTAAGTAAAACACCATTTTAATTGACATAAGAATCTAATTATTGAATTAAAACTTCTTAAGGCACGCTTGACTTGGGGGGGGTAAACTGGCGAAAGTGTTACGATTAGTGTCATTGGTGACTCATCGGTAAACAATGAACTATAGCCGTCACAAAATACATGAACCTAGTGCTTGGTGGGTGATAATGGACCCAGTGCGGATTGTTGGGTGATAACGGACCCAGCGTGGATTGGTGGGTGATAATGGACCCAGTGTGGATTGAAGGGGTAATAACGGACTCAGCGTGCATTGGTGGGTGATAATGGACCCAATGCGGATGGAAGGGTGATAACGAACCCAGCGCGGATAGGTGGATGTTAACGGACCCAGTAAGGATTGATGAGTGATAACGGAACCAGTGCGGATAGGTGGATGATAAT